CTAGAAGTAGCATTCTAGTTTATGGTTCAGTACACTCTGTCGTCTAAAAAAAGAATTCAAGCCGTTTAGCCCACTTCTGGATCGACGAACCGGGGTACGGAATAAAAAGCTGTCGGAACCCGATCGGAACAGGTAGACGATTCACCTGTTCGCCGCGAAACTTTTCGAACATCGGCGTCGGAACAATGAACTTTTCGCGCATTGTTCGCGGCCGATTCGATTCGACTGCGAGACGCCCATTTTCCGCGGCGCTCTTTGTGCCCGCGCGGCGATTGTGCGCCGTCAAAAATTTCGTACGAATAATTTGCGCGGCCGCGAAACAATGCGGACGTTCCGCCGCGGTGACCGAATCGCGTTCGAAACGATGTTCGACTTTCCGACGGACGTTTATGGAACGATTATCGGAACGATAAAAAATATTTTCTTGTCCGAGGCTTTTTCGAGCCGCGACGCCCCGCCGTCCCGATTCGATAAACTCGAGAATCATTAGATGTTAATTAAACGGCCTGGTAATTACGAGCCGTTCGAACCGCGCGCGTCGTTAAAATTTCGCCGCGTTGACGATCGCGCGGAAACGCGGAATCCCGCGGACGGATCCGCGGGATTGGCTCCGCGCGGATCCAAGCGGTTACGTATTAAAAGTTTCCTTCATATTTAATTACACTTTCTGGAATTTCGTCTCGTCCCCGTATCGCGGCGACCTTTCAATTTAAACTCATTTCCATGCAGCCTCTTCAAACATCCGTGCAGCCCCGAGCCGCGCCGGTACGGCCCCATTTATTCGAATACTACCTCTTGTATTTCTACCGCGTTCCCGCTCTTATTTCCGTCGTCGCGATACAACGTGTGTCGACCAATATTACCAGTCACTCGATCGTTTGTTAGCCAATCTTTCATGTTCGCGTTCGGTGCTCCATGTTTAATTTCAATGTTCAGGGTCAAATGTTCGGTTTCTGATGTCGAATATTGAATGTTCGATGTTCAATATTCAATGTTGAATAATCGCTGTTTAACATCGAATATTGAATGTTCAAAGTTCCACATTGAATATAGAATGTTCAAGGTTCCACATTAAATATTGAATGATCCATATTTAACATTGAATATTGAGTGTTCAATATTCAATGTTGACTGGTCGATATTTAACAATGAATATTGAATGTTCGATGTTCAATATTCAATGTCGAATATGCGCTGTTTATCATACAATATTGGATATTCAATCTTCCACATTCAAAGTTGAAAGTTCGCTGTTTAACATTGAATACTGAATGGTCCATATTTAACGTTGAATATTGAATGTTGAATGTTCGCTGTTTAACATTGAATGTTGTCAGCTCGATATTTAACAATGAATATTCAATGTTGCCTGATCGATATTTAACAATGAATATTCAATGTTGCCTGGTCGATATTTAACAATGAATATTGAATGTTCGATGTTCAATATTCAATGTCGAATATGCGCTGTTTATCATACAATATTGGATATTCAATCTTCCACATTCAAAGTTGAAAGTTCGCTGTTTAACATTGAATACTGAATGGTCCATATTTAACGTTGAATATTGAATGTTGAATGTTCGCTGTTTAACATTGAATGTTGTCAGCTCGATATTTAACAATGAATATTCAATGTTGCCTGATCGATATTTAACAATGAATATTCAATGTTGCCTGGTCGATATTTAACAATGAATATTGAATGTTCGATGTTCAATATTCAGTGTTGAATAATCGCAGTTTAACAATGAATACTGAATGTTCAAGGTTCCACATTGAATATTGAATGTTCAAACTTCCACATTGAATATTGAATGTTCAAGTTTCCACATTGAATATTGAATGTTCAAGGTTCCACATTGATTATTGAATGTTCGATGTTCAATATTCAGTGTCGAATAATCGCAGTTTAACAATGAATACTGAATGTTCAAGGTTCCACATTGAATATTGAATGTTCAAACTTCCACATTGAATATTGAATGTTCAAGTTTCCACATTGAATATTGAATGTTCAAGGTTCCACATTGAATATTGAATGTTCGATGTTCAATATTCAGTGTTGAATAATCGCTGTTTAAGATTGAATATTGAATGTTCGATATTCAGGATTCAATGTTGAATAATCGCTATTTAACTTTGAATATTGAATGGTCCATATTTAACGTTGAATATTGAGTATTCAATGTTGAACATTCAATGTTGAATGTTCGCTGTTTAACATTGAATATTGAATGTTTCCTGTTTAACAATGAATATTGAATGTTCAATGTTTCACATTGAATATTGAATGTTCAAGGTTCCACACCGAATATTGAATGGTCCATATTTAACGTTGAATATTGTTTGTTCAATATTCAATATTGATTGGTCGATATCGAACAACGAATATTGAATATTCGATGTTTATTATTCAATGTTGAATATTCGCTGTTTACTGTTGAATATTGAATGTTCAATGTTTCACATTCAAAGTTGCAAGTTCACTGTTTAATATCGAATATTGAATCGTCGATATTTAACGTTGAATATTGAGTATTCAACGTTCAACAACATTCAATTTTGAATGCTCACTGTTTAACAGTGAATATTGCCTGGCCGATATTTAACACTGTAAACTGAATGTTCGATATTTAACACTGAATATTCAACATTGAATATCAAACGTTCGCGGTTTAACATTGAACACCGAACGTTCCCAGTTCAACATTGAACATCAAAGGTTCAATTCGCAATATTCGACGTTATACAATCAATATAAAATGTTGATACAAACGTTCCAATATTCAATGTGCCGCGTATTTAGTATACAAACTCGAATCCTTCGATATCCATTGTTGAACGTTCCCCGAAGTCGACTTCCACACCGACGATATTGTATTCGTTCGTAATAATTTGCTGGCGATGCAGGGATACAGATCGCGAACGTCGGGCAGAATAAAATAGATCGAAACAGGACGGCGACGAAGCGAATTTTCGAGGCGAGCTTCCCCTCTCCGTGAACACGGTCTTCTCACCGATAAGATAACATTTGCGCGCCAAGAATCGCAAATAGATCGCCGATCGCTTTTCGACCTGGCGGGACGAGCGATACGATCGTGGCTTCGAGTGCTATGGACGCTTGAACCCGTTTAGGCTATTTATCGATTTCGAAGCTGATTTTCCAAATTTATATGATCTTTATTGTTTCTATACTATACTATTTTCATACTAATCGTGCGACCGTGTGGAAAAACGAGCTGTCAAACGTAGAATTACGCATATTATGTGAGATAATATTTTATTATATTATTATTGAGATGAATTGTAATATATAATTAATATATAGTATAATTATTATAAATCAAAATATATTATTATAAATATGAAATATTGTGTACATTATTTATATTATAAAATATCGTGTATATAATATATATAATAGTATATTTATGAAAATAATAGTATATAATAATTATATTATATTATAATTATATAATAAATATATATACATTAAATATCGTGTATACAATGTATATAATAATATATTTATGAAAAATCGTGGAAACAAATTCGACGGGCTCCGAATGAAATAAAACAAGAAAACGCTGCGGAAACAAAGAATCGACAATCGGAAACCTCCACGCGCCGATTCACCGTGAAAATGATCGCCTCGTCGAACGATGATTTTTCGAAACGCCCCGGGAACCGTGTAACCTTTCGCATTATAAATAAACTGTAAACGCGTTAACGATCTTTCGCGTTAGAAACTGCATATATATATAAATGACATTTCGCGTGCAGCGCTGCGACCGCGGCAGCATTTTTGTTCTTTTTTCGTCGACGCCAACTTCGTTCGGCTCGCGCAAATGAAAAACAAAAAAGAACAAAAGAAAGAAATGAAATGAAATGATCGCGACGCGAAAAATATTCCGCGCGCGACGAGCCGCGGAAAAATCTGTTTACAAACAGAGCCCCGCGGGGCCCCGCGAAATTATAGCCGGCGGGACGGGGTTTACAGCGGTTGCGGATTATATTCGTTCGACTGTCGTGATTGCTGCCAAGAGCAGTAACGAAGCCAATTCGATTTCCTTACTGCCCGAATACTGCCCCCCCCCCCGTCCCCCTTCTAATCCAATCATTATTCCCAGGGCATCCCGGTTAGAAACGATTTCCAAACGTTTCGCTGTTTCGAGACGATTTCGAGACGAGATAACACCGATATTTTAACACGAAATGTACGCGACCAGACGCGAAATCCTTCGAAATCGTTCGAAATGTGTATCGGAGCACTGCAGAAATTTTCGCGCGTGACGCGTTCGCGGTAAAAAAAGGCCCAATTCGGCGCCTATAACGTCGCCGTTATCCTTCGAATTAGGCTTCGAGAATTCAGCCGGCGGTTTCCATCGCCGTCGATCTATCGCGACGGAGACTGCACGTCGGCAAACGATTCCACCGGCGAGATCGCGCCGCCATGTTGCAGTTAGCACAACAACAACGACCGGCCGAATGAAGCGCGCGATGAATCTCGGTTGGCCGCGATCCGCGGGCGATCGCCGGACGCGGCGACGATCGGCGGACGCGACGGCGATCGGTGGAATCCAACGAGCGCTCGACGGCGTCGAAAGTCGCTCGGGGAACCGCGAACAGGTTCGCGGACGCGCGAGTCCGTCGATGACGCAACCGTCCGAAGGTTCTTTTCATCGGCGCGGCCGCGCGCGCGTCCCGCGATCTACGCGATTCGGTACGAAAAAGGCATCGGCGACCGTGACGCGACGCGCGCCGACGAAAACGCGCGCGACTTTTAGGGCCGGCCGTATATGTATTTCGTTAGAGGGAAGGGGGGTGGGGGAGAGGTCGCGGATTTCGCTCGGGGTCCGCGAGAGTTCGGAGAAAGTTCTGGTACCGGAAGCAGAGTCGCGCGAGTCGAACTCTCGCGAGTTTTCGAATAAGATCGACCGATCGGAACACGATAATACGTACGTATATGTGTATGTATATGTGTCTGTTGTACTCACGTAAACGGCGGGCTGCGCAGCAGCGGTCCGTCGGCAGGCCGAGAGCGTAAAGTATATCCAATAATCCACAGTGAACGAGAACCGTATTACTGCACTGACAATAATAAAAACTCTCACTTTCTTTATCGAGACTCGCCGAACAATATCGGCTATTCCTCTCGTTTCACTGATTTCAGATCACCCACACAAGACGACGAAGATGACGAAGAAGAACGAGAACGAAAAACAGAGTCGCGCACCACCAGGGAGGTTTAAACCGTAGCACACCTTTCTTTCTTTTATTTTCACGGGACGACGAGAAGAACAGAACGTCGGCGACGAACAGAAGCACCACAAACAATACGAGGCTGCCGCTGCATCAATGGAGAGTACTCGATGCGGCGCGGCACGGCCGGCCGAGTCGCTGATTGAATGGCGCCGTGGTTTCCAACGTCTCTGCGCGTCCGCGGAGAGAACCGCGCCGGGCTATTGTATCCGGACGAGGAAAATATTGCAACTGAAAATCGCGAACGTGTCACGCCGGCGAACCGCACTCGACAGATACTCGGCAGGAACTGACGCGTACGCGGGACGGTCGACGCGAGGCGACGCGACGCGCGCTCCGTTCCCGTCGACGGCCGCGCTCGAATCGAAAGAAATCGAGCGGTTTGACTATCGCTCCCGGCGGGGAGA